CTGTCTAGTCCAGTTGTAGCAAGAATCCTGCTATATTAGCTTAGAGAGAATCCCCCACACTTGATATCTGATCACTCTGGCCTGCCTTCAGCAAGAATCCTGTTAAGTCAAGTTTAGCAAGAACTCCCCTTATTCTTGTTATTTTCTTTTCATAATGTTCCATCCACTGACTTCTTCATTCTGCTTGTTGGCCATGAATCTCCACTTGTCCCTGCTGCATTTGGAGTTGAGCCTCATCTCTCACCCATATTAGGATAGTTTTGACACCTATCATGATAGTTCTAAATAAAATTTTCCTTACCATTTTAATAGTCAGAATAATTTTTTCTTTATCATTTCTGGCTATCTCCACTGTGTTCATAGTCTGTACTATACCATGTAGCACTTGATCAAATCCTGTCTTTTATTCTTACTTGCCTCTTGCATATAAGTCCAAATCCATTGCCTTGTACAGTGTTCAACCTATGTTAGAATCCTGCACCCAGGGACCTTACGTCATTAGCAGAGATGCCAGTGAAAGGCCCTTCATTGTGTCTTGAGGAGAGGTAAAAAGGAGCAGAGAGTGGGCCAGGAGCAGTGGCTCTTGCCTGTAATCCTAGCACTCTGGGAGGCTGAGGTGGGAGGATTGCTTGAGCTCAGGAGTTCGAGACCAGCCTGAGAAAGAGTGAGACCCTGTCTCTACTAAAAAGAAAAAATAGAAAAATTAGCTGGACATGTGGCGCACACCTGTAGTCCCAGCTACTCGAGAGGCTAAGGCAGGAGGATTGCTTGAGCCCAGGAGTTTGAGGTTGCTGTGAGTGCTAGGCTGATGCTACGGCACTTAAGCCCAGGCAACAGAATGAGACTCTGTCTCAAAAAAAAGAAAAGAAGAGAAAAGAAAGAAGAGACAGGGAATGAAAAAAGCAGGCTTCGTTCTTAAGCCCCCCAGTGAAATAGACATCCAGTGATTCAACCAGCTTGGCTAAGTGCTGCTCCTTACATTTGGACAGAGAGATATAAAAGAGGAAGGTATCTTAGCATAAAATGCTCCAGGCTAGGATCTATTAATATGAACAGTTTGGAAGCTTACCCCAGCCTCTTTCTGTTTTCTTCTGGGTGGGGTGGGAGATTGTGGTAGGGTATCTGGTTGGGAAGAGAGGGAGGGAATCACTAAACTGTTTTCAGTTCAAATTCAGGGGCAGACACAGTTGGAAATAAGCCTAGGTTGCTGGTACTTCTGCTAGGAGTGGGCCTCTGATCAGCTAAACTCTGGCCTCTGCCTAAGTCAGTAGACTTTCATATACTACAATAAGACTAACAGAATGAGAAGAGTGTGTCCTTAAGAGTATCTAGTACTATCATTGAAGCAAGGGGTTGTTACAAAAAAATACAAAATAGTTTCCCATCTTTGTGGGTAAAAATAAACTGGGCTGGAAGTTAGGAAAAATTGAGATCCAGCTTTAGCTCTGCCTCTCACAAATATGACTCTTTCCTCCCTGGGCCTTAGTTTCCTGATCTGTAAAAGGAGGTAGCAGGTATCTCTGCTGTCCAACCTGCCTAGTCCCTGTGGCCAATTCCATCATGGTCCATACATAGGATCTTCTGGAGAGACAGTAGGAATCCTGGGGGCCATTCCAAGATTCAGAGCTCTGGGGTTTGGTTCTATCCTCCAAGTTCTCTTCCTTCAATTCTTAGCAATTTGCTTCACTCATCTCTTCAAATTCTTTTCTGGAAGAAGACAGACTCTGTGTACGAATGAGTGAACCAAGTCATTTCTTCTCAGGCACACCACCTCTCCATCTCTTTAAGTTAGAGGCAGAATAGTTGGTTCATAGGAACAGCAAGGCTGAATTACCACACTGAGATCTGAAGCCTACAGGAAGGAGGCATTAGGACAAGCACATCCTAGCCCTGGGAGGCCAGGGGTTAGGACAAAAAAGGTCTTATCTTATAGACATGGCAGCAAGGTCTATGTGAGATGAGAGTAAAGTATTGATGGGATGAATTTAAGTAGCTGGGAAAGGGGGAAAAAACTGAGGCCTTGAAGATGAGTGTGGAATGTCACGGGGCCAAGTCCAGGATAAGAGGAAAGAGCAAAAGATCTAGGGTTCAGGTGACCATGGGCAAGTCAGTGACCTTTCCAGGGTTCGATTCCTATCTGTAAAGTGCCTGCTTTGCTTGTCTCTTGGATGACGAAGTTTACTTTAAGCAGCTTTGACATATATATGTCAAAGAGCTTCATAAACTATAAAACTATATAAAAAGGAAAGTTTTAAAATACCACTGATAATGGTAGTACTAGCGAGAGGATGGGACCATGGGATAACAAGAGACAGCTGGAATATAATGGAGTGAGCACACCAATGGGGAGCTGCCAGATAAAATACAGCATGCTCAGTTAAATTTAAATCTCAGATAAACAAGGAATACTTTTGTAGTATGTTCCAAATATTACATAGGACATATGTATACTAAAACAAATGTGTGATTTACCTGAAATTAAAATTTAATTGAACAGCTATCTGTATTCTTATTTGTTAAATCTGGCAAGCCTACACCAAATCCTACCTCTTTCACTTACTTTGGACATCTTACTTCATTCCACCCAGCCTCGGCTAATCCTACCAACCTCCCATGCTGAGTGTGAGGATCAGAGGACATGATGGATGTGAAAGTAAAGCATTACATAAATGGAAGGTGTTCTTTTATTTCACTGTAATACACTTTCTGCTTTTCTCTTATCAAGAAAATCCAAACTAGAATCAAATATTTTATCTGACACTTAAATCACTCAGTGTATACAGTAGTAAAAATGAAAGATTACTGTGGTAGGCTGGATAATGCTCCCACCCATATATATGTCCATGTCCTAATCCTTGAGACCTGGTAATATGTCCCCTTACATGGAAAAGGAACTTTCAGATGTGATTAAAGATCTTGCAGTGGGGTGATCCTCCTAGACTACCTGCATGGGCTTGATATGATGACAGTGGTCCCTGTAAAAGGAAAACAGGAAGATTCAGAGCCAGAGAAGGTGATGTGAAGACAGAAGCAGAGATTGAAGTGATGCACTTGAAGATGGAAGGGATCACAAGCCAATGAATACAGGCAGCCACTATAAGCTGAAATAAAAAGAGATTCTCCTCTCAGAACCTCCAAAAGAGATCAGCCCTGCTTACACCTTGATTTTAGCACAGTGAACCTAATTTTGGACTCCTGACCTCCAGAACTATCAGACAATAAATTTGTGTTAATTTAAGCCACTTAATTTGTCGTAATTTGTTACAGCAGCAATGGGAAACAAATACACTTACCTTGAGACTGCTTCTAAGTTGGATCAGATCTAGTCTTAGATGAAAAGACACAGATCAGAAATTATTGGCTCTTAGCCCTAGTTGCATGTTATATCATACAGAGAGCTTTTACAGAAAATTACAATATTTGCTCCCCCATTCACATGCAGCTGGACTGGGGTAAGACTCCATCTGTATTTTTTCCATGTTCCCAGATTATTCTAATGTGCAATCAGAAATAACCACTATTGGCTGGGTACAGGGGCACACTCCTGTAATCCTAGCACTTTCGGAGGGTGCAGTGGGAGGATCCCTTGAGGCCAGGAGTTCAACACTAACCTAAGTGAGACCCTGTCTCTACAAAAAAATAGAAAAATTAGCTGGGTATATTGGTGTGTGCCTATAGTCCCAGCTACTTCAGAAGCCGAGGCAGGAGGATAGCTTAAGCCCAGGAATTTGAGGTTGCTGTGAGCTATGAGGACACTACTACACTCTCACCCCAGGTGACAGAGCAAGACCTTCAAAACAAAAAAAGTAAAAGAAATAATCACTGTTGGCCAGGCACAGTGGCGGCTCATGCTTGACATCCCAGCACTTTGGGAGGCTGAGGTGGGAGAATATCTTGAGGCCAGGAGTTTGAGACCAGCCTGGGTGACATAGCAAGACCCCATCTCTACGATTTATTTTTAATTAGCCAGGTGCAGTGGCATGCACTTGTAGTCCCAACTACTTGGGTTGCTGAGGCAGGATCATTTGACCTCAGGAATTTGAGGTTACAGTGAGGTATGATCATGCCACTGCACTGCAGCCTGAGTGACAGAACAGAGACCCCATCTCTAAAAACTGAGAAAGAGATATAAGCACTGTCATAGATGGAGTTTGGAAGGATCATCACTGTCTAGTCCATCTTCCTATTCTGCAGGAGAAACTGAAGCCCAAAATGGTGAAGTGACTTGCCCAGGGTCACACAGAAAGGTGATAACCAAGCCTATAATAGAATAAGAAAGTGACTGATGAGCCTGTGTAAGCACTACTCACAAAATCACCAAACTGGTGGTAGACAAATCAATGTCTAAGGAGGTGAATAGAATGGTCCTCAAACTTTTTAAATGGAAAAAAAAAAATTAAAAAAAAGGAAAAAAAAATGAATAGAATGGACATCTTCTTTAAATTCAGTTTCTGCAGTAGCCTTTCTTATTATTCCAAAGATCTGATCTATACTAAATCTATAATCACTTCTGGGTCCCTAAGGTCACTAATTCAGGCTTCACTGGTTACAAGGCCAGAAGCTACTCATGAATAAATTACAAATAACTCTCTCCACATGATTGTCTGGTGCCAGAGGGAATTGTTCACTAGCAATTGTAAGAACACTTGAATATTAAACCATTGAGATTACTCTGGGGAGGCTTTGCATATTTACTTCTTTGCAAAGTATTTTGGATTAATTATCTCAGAGGTCATGCCATCTATTAATACCAGCAGGCTTCAGCCCTCAGGGAAGGGACAATGAATTCTTTCCCACTGCCTTTAAAATTCATAACCTGCATTCCTTTTCTAGAAATCCTACTTTCTCCTGCGAGATGCAGGTGCAGTCCCCATTGACTTCTAGCTGACTTTATTCTCCATTTAATACTGCTCTGAAAAAGGAGGAAATATGTATGTATGTATGCATGCATGCATGTGTGTATTTCATACTGATAGTCAAAGTCCCACAGCACTCAAAGTGAGCTGAATCCCCTAACTTCCTCATTAATCTTGCAGGTAGCCAGCCTCCAGAATGGGAGCTTAAATGGCTAACACTGCAGTAAACATTAACCAGCACAAGTGAAATACTGCCTTCTTATCAGTTTCCGTCAACATATAAACATAGGACACATTTTTTAATGTATTCAGAAACCTTAAGACCACCTTGGGACTGATGAAAATATTCCCACTGAAGACATAATTTCCCCAACTGATAGGCTAAATCATACTGTTTCTAAGTGAAGCCTCCTCCTCTTTATGAAAAAGCAATGACAGCAGTCACAGTGTACTGTTATTAAAAACCAGGCAGAAGAGACACTTATATATCCAAAAAACAACTCTTTTTTTTTTTTTTTTTAGAAAACAGAAAATCACCTTTAAGTTTCATGACTGGGTTTCAGCTTTGTTTTCCCATTTTCTTGGTGCTACCCTAAACAATGAGCTTCAGGATATAACAAGAGGTACTAGACTAGCGTTCCTGAGGGATATGGACCAGAGGATGGTCCATATGAAATTTTGCCAGCCAACGGGTGAGGAAGGGGCAAAATAGTTGTACTGGGATATAGGGGCGGTATATGGGGAGGCCCAAACAGAGGGCAGCGCAGAGGCCTAGTGACTGGTGTAGGGATGGTAAGGATGGTGCTCCGTGGGTATTCCTGGGTGGTGAAAGGCAGGACTGGGCTAACATCAGGTTTGGAGTGTAGCAGTGGGCCTTGTGAGGCATTTCTTCTGGGAGTGGGATTACAGCTTGACACAGTAGGTTCAGCGTTTTCAAGTTCATCCCTTCTCTGAGGCCGAAGGCACCGGAAGCAAGCAACACCAGCAAGGACTCCCAAGAGGATGAAAGTGACAAAGGTGCTACCCACGATAACTAAGGGCAAGTAGACAGACCCTAGGATGAAGAGAAGAAAAAGTTAGGTAGTTACACATATCTTAGTCTACTTCCAACCTGTGCAGCAGAGGGAAGACATTTTATATCCTTGGTAATTCCAGAGCATGTACCAATGCAGGCATCTTTCTTTAGGAACTTATGCTGAATCTGTCCAGGCAGGAAGATACTATGTCCACAGAAGAAATCCTCAGGCCTTTTGAGTCAAGAGAAATGAATTTTGGTGTAAGTAGGCATGAGTAATACAAGTGCTTAGAGGGAAGTCATCCAAATGATATTTATGGGACAGTGAGATGGCTTGCTTACCAGTAATTATCAAAAAAAAAAAAAAAAGTGGTAAAGCATTGTTGCGGACTGAAGGCATTTGTCCTATAGCCCTAAAGAGCAAACACTATGCAGAACCTCTCTCAGGAAGGGTATCATCTACCAAAAGGCAATAGTAGTTCATTTGAAAGTTGCTATGATAAGTGGAAAGAAGACTTGAGATTAGCAGTTATAAGCCCTGGGTCCTACTCATTGGCTGAGCAACTTATAAATTATGTGGCCTTAGACAAGTCAATTAATGTCTTTGAGCTGTAATATATTCCTTAGTAACTAGGACAGCATCTACTTCATAGCTTTGTCTGGATTGAAGAAGCTAAAGTGTGTGAAAACATTTATAAACTGTAAAGTAATTGTAAATGTAAGGAATTTTTTCCTTCATCTTTGGGGTACTTGAGATGGGGTTTTCACTTCTAAGAATAGGGAAAAAGAAAGGGTTTTACCTTTATCTTGGCTACCAAGAAGGTCAGAGCAAAAGTTCAGGTGTCCTGAATATAGTAGCACAGGGTTTTCATTACATTTTTTTTCATTCTGTCTAGATTTTCATCTTTTATTTTAAATAAAATGAAAATGAAAGGTTAAAATGAAAATTAAAGGTAATCTTGTTGCATAAAAACTGTGGTAACTGAACCTGAAAATAATATGTTCAGTTCTTGTCCCTATCCCTCAAGAGAGATTTAATTGAACAGATGGAGGTCTTGAGAAGAGCAATGATGGTCCACCAATACAAAGGACATACTCAATATGTGAAGACTCTAGGCTGGAAAAAATGAAGGTTTTAATAAAGCAAGATCAAAATCCTCAAACTTACTGAACATTTGGAAAATACAAGGGCCTATCTCATTATAGAGCATTGGAACTCTCCACACTCAGAAAATATTCGCTTAACACTACTACAAGAATGTTTATTAACAGACTGTTGGGGATGGATAGCCGATTTGTAAGTCATCCTTGTAGAAAATACATTCAAATGGTTAAAAAATCAAAATCATAAACAATGATATACAATTGAGAAGTCTCATTCCTACCTTCATCCCTGTTAACACAGTACCACCTTGAAGCCTCCCAAATATAACTACTTATTTTTTTTTTTTGAGACAGGGTCTCACTATGTCTCCTGGGCTAGTGTGCAGTGGCATCATCATTATAGCTCACTGCAACCTCACATTGCTGGGCTCAAGCAATCCTCCTGCCTCAGCCTCCCAAGTAGCTGGGACTACAGGTGCGCACCACCATGCCTAGCTAATTTTTCTATTTTTAAAGACAAGGTCTTGCTCTGGCTCAGGCTGGTCTGAAACTCCTAACCTCAAGTGATCCTCCCACTTTGGCCTCTCAAAATGCTAGGATTACAGGCATGAGCCACTGCGTCCAGCCTTGTAAGTTCTTTTATTAATGTCCTGTATATCTCTCCAGTGTTGTTATATGCAAACACAGGCAAATACAAATCTATATTCTCACATCTGACCCACTCCACAAAAGGTAGCACACACTGTTTTGCACCTTAATGTCTTCTACCAAACAATATATCCTGGAAATCCTTCCATATTAGTTCATAGAGCACTTCTTCAATTTTTTTTTTTTTTTGGCTATATGCCATTGTGTTTCTGTGCTATAATTTATTTAACCTTTACACTACTAATAGACACTTGGTTTGTTTCTGATTTTTCCCCATCATCTCTTAATTCCTTCAACAACCTATGTACTGCTATTATATCCATATTATAAGTGAAGAACTTGAGATTCAGAGAGGACAAATAAAATGCTGATGGTCTCCACTGCTTGTCAGTAGTATAGCTGATACTCAAATCCAAATTTGTTCATTTGGAGATTGAATGAAAAACCCTACTCTTGCTTACACCACCCTTGAATTAGATATCTTTACTGGCCCATGTAACCACCAGAGCAGGCCAGGCGAGGTGGCTCATGCTTGTAATCTTAGCACTCTGGGAGACCAAGGAGGTTGGATCACTTGGGGTCAGGAATTCAAGACCAGCCTGAGCTACAGCAATACCCTGTCTCTACAAAAAACAGAAAAATTAGCCAAGCACAGTGGTGGTAGTGCATGTCTGTAATCCCAGCTACTTGGAAGGCTGAGGAAGGAGGATTGCTTGAGCTCAGGTATTTGAGGTTGCTGTGAGTTATGATGACACCATTGCACTCTGGCCAAAGTGATAAAGCGAGACTCTGTCTCAAAAGAAAAAATAAAATAAAACAAAACAAGAACAAAAATAAAAATAATACAACAAAACAAACAAGTAAAAAAACCACCTGAGCATGTTGAGCTAATTGGAAGTGAGTACAAATGCAATTTCTTTAATAAAAACCCTGATACCATGCAAGGATTCCAGACATCTGTGGCAGCTGTGGTGGAATGGAGAAGCCACCAACCTAAAAGACTTACTAGTTATCAGTAAATATGAGGCTTACTAGTTATCAACAAATGTAACACATGAACTAGTGATTATAAAAGTTATTTGGAAACTATAAAGCTCCATATTCTTAAATGAGGTGGTTTTGTCAGCTGAACATTCCAAAAACAATAGCGCTATACCCTTTTTAAAGCTTCTAAGTGTCTGGACTCCAGGGCAATACTGTTTTGAGACATGGCAGACACTTGCATAATATTATCTAACTGGTACCAAGCAGGCACCCTTCCCCAAAGCAATCTCATTTTTACTGTATGACATTGTTCCTGAAATGCCATCAGTAAATATTTAAGCCTTAGAGAGAAATACCTCTAGCTTACACCATCAAAGAAAGTTATGACAACTGAGAGAAAGGCCATGAAGAAATGGGACAAGTGACTGCCTTTTAGTGGGAGGCAAGACAAATCTGATAAATATTTCCTGAGTATATTTATGCCAGGCACTGTGCTCCTCCTTATTGTAGGAAATGCAAAGATGAATGAGACACTATCTCTGCCTAAGTCTAGTGGAGACAAGTAAAGAAGTAGCTGACAACTAGAAAGGTGACTCTGACAAACATGTAATAGAAGTTTGGGAATTATGAGAAGAATGATTTTCATTCTGGCTTCTTGGAAGAGTCAGAATTTAACCAGGAATTTCAAGGAAAAGCAATACCATTTATTTAGCACTTATTGAATGCCAGATGCTGTGCTAAGTGTTTTGCATGCATTCATTTAATGCTCACAGTAACCTTATTTTGCAAATGAATAAACCGAAGCTCAAAGATAAAGTAACTTGCCCAGGTGAACCAGTTGCTAAATAGCAAGAGAGAGGATTTAAATTCAGTTCTGTCTCCAGATATTAATCACTGTGATTAACTGACTCTTGAGAGACAATAGAGGTAATGGAAGTTCCAGGCAAAAGGAAAAAAGATGGGGAAGAGAGTAAAAGAAGAAAGGGTACATTCTGGAAGAGGTAGGGTCTGAGAAGGAAAATAGGCAGGACTTCTTAGTACTTCTGCTTAGAGGAATGGTGGGGCAAGCTCTGCAGGGGTCTAAGTGAGCACCTCTGCTCTGCTTTGTGGGTTACCGGAGGGATCTTCTTTCACTTCAGAAGTGACCCTGGAAGGGGAGCTCAGCTAGCTAGGCAGGCAGTTTATAGTAAAGCCTCTATGGGGGAGGGGAAGCAGAGTGACCAGGGAGACATTATTATATAGATTTAAAATATATGTATGTGCTAGGCATAATGTCATGTGTTGCCCCCTTCAGTCCTCACCTATCCTGCAAGGCAGGGGTTAGACCGGTTTTACACAAGGCCACTCATGGCTGTGGTCTAGTATCCTCCTAGGCCCTTTCCAATACTTTGGGCTGCCCTAAACCCTAAAATCTGGGGACTTGAGCAGTGGAGTCATTACACAAGAGGACATGTTGGATTGGAGGAAAACTGACACTGAGCCCCAACGCCCCATGGGTAGTTAATTTTCCTGGCTAAGGACATCCTAGGCCCAAAGGAATGCATAGCTTCCAGAGAAGCCTTGCCTTGCGTTTGGAGACTGGGAAGAACTGCTTTGCAGGCATCCTGGGACTTCCAGTTTATTTTGGGGCATGGGAGACAAATAGGAGTGTGTAGGACAGGCAGGGAACCCCAAGACGAGCTCAGGAGCAGCAAACAATTGTCCAATTGAGAAAAATTATCTTAAAAAGTGCTTGTGGGAAGAAGGGCCAGATAACCCTTCTCTTCCATGTCCTGTCCCTGTCACAATACCCATAATCCTCCCTTCCCCCACAGATCCTTGAGGTGGGGGAAAGGTCAATGTTTTTCAGCACGAGGTCTCTGCTATCTGGCATAGAATAGGTGCTCAATAAATATTTGTTAGATAGACAAATAAATTATACTTTTTTATCTCAAACTGAGACCAGTTAGGAAGACTGGTGAGGGGTTTCTCATGAATAACTGTTTCCCCTAGCCCAGGCAGTCTAAGGCCTCCACAAGAGTTCAGGTGAGGGTGTACAATCACAGGAACTCCAAACTCCTGCCTGACAAGCATTTAAATTTGAAAACAAATTTATGAGGCAAAGGGTCTTGGGGTCTAATTTTTCAAAGTAGGTCAAAGTTGCTGGGTTCAAGACCACCCTGAAGCCCACTCCTCTCAGGTATTAAAAAAAACTTATATTTTATAGGAACCATCTGATTTCCTCACAGCCCCCTCCCAACCTGATGAAAGCAGCAGGCTTATGAGGAAGCAGCTTCTGAGAAGCAAAATGCCTGACCTAAAGTCATGCAGTTGGGATGTGGTAGAACTGGGGTTCCAACACAAGTCGTCTGACCCTCCATCTACCATGCCACCTATTTTGAATTCCTCTGGCACAGATATATAAACCTAGTAGAAAGGGGACATATCCCTCCCCAACCCACAACCAGTATTAACCTCCCTCTGCTACGCCATCAGACCTGGGATTACCTTCTGGAGGTGGAAGCATAACCTCATTGGAGTCCAAGGGCACGTCCTCTGGACACAGTCCCTGATCCAGCCGAGCCTCGAGGGTGGCACAGCAGTAGCGCAGAGAACAGGTCCCACAGCAGAAGATGGCAGTGGGCTTATCATATTCCTCTGGGCACTGGAAGTCTGCATGCCATAGCTGGGCACTGTCAATCCAGCTGTGGCAAAACTCGCCTTGAGGCCTGACGCCTCTGGGCATAGCCAGCAACAGGACACTGGCCCAGAGTAGCAGCCCCAAACCTGACCACTGAGTCTTCCCCATAACAAGTAGCCTAGACATTCTCCCAGACACGTGGCTCTGGTCCCCCAGCACTGCCCTGCTGCTCACCAGCCACAGATTGCCTTGCTTGAAAGCTCAGCGTAGATCCCAGGTGGCTCCTTGCTGAGAGGCCTGAGCTACTCATCCTGTTCTCCGCCCCTGCCCTGGCCCCACCCCCACCCCTGCCCCGGCCACCTGCTGCCTCCAGCCAGCAGCTCAGAAGCTGGGTTTCTGCCCACTGCTCTCCCCTCCCCCCTCCCTCTCTGTGCTGGCTGCCTCCCTTTCTTCCCAACAGTGCAGGCCAAGAGGATGTGAATGTGTTTGCTTGGGAATTACTGGAGACCCAACTGTTAATACCAGAGCTATGAATATTTTTAGCATATTATGAGATCTATAATGCTTCTTCAAATCATTTTCAAAATCTGTAAAATGGAAAATAGCAGTAGATGACCTCTCAAGTCCTTTCAGCTCAAATGTTATATGATTTGGGATTTATTCCACAATAAATACACAGTAACAAAAATTCCCACCTGTTCTTTCAGTGACCCCCAATTCCTGCTTTTCTCTTTCCTGACTCACTATCGCAGTCCCTCTACCCTCAGACTCCCTCGCCCCCCACGAATCTGTCTCCACTTGGTTACTTCTGGGCTATTGTCTTTATAACCCTTCCCCACCACACACACATACACACACCTTAATCCTTACACAGCTCCTTATCACAAACATTGATGTTTTCTAGGTCTTCTAGGTCATAGCGCTATACTGCCTGTTAGAATTGACCCCAGTTTTCCTTAATTTTGTCAGGATACACTGGTTCTTTCTTTAGGGGCCAGAGTTGCTTTTTTTGATTTTTGCTAAGAAAATAAAACGGTATCTCTTCTTTCACCTATTGCCTTAAGTGGAATAACATCAATTTTTCCTCTAGATATTCAGCTTCCATAATAATCCTTTCAACTGTGTAGTGTTGACTGTTTACAAAGCATCTTCACATCAGTTATCTCTTGCAATGCTTACAACAACCCTGTTAGGTAAATGATCTTCCACTTTACAGATGAGAAAACTTATAGAGTTTTCTCTCTAAGTTTGGAGGCCAAGGCACAATGATCACAAGTGCAGGAGTTCCAGACCAGCCTGAGCAAAAGCGAGACCAGGTCTCTACAAAAAAAAAAGAAAAAGAGAGAGAGAGAGAGAAAAGAAAAGAAAAGAAAAATTGGCTGGGTGTGGTGGTATGTGCCTGTAGTTCCAGCTACTCCGGAGGCAGAGGTAAGAGGGAGGCAGAGGCAAGAGGATTGTTTGGGCCCAGGAGTTTGAGTTTGCATTGAGCTATGATGAGCCACTGCACTCTAGTCTGGGAGATAGAGCAAGACCCTATTTAAAAAAAAATCCATATGGCTCAATGAATTAACTGTAAAAAAGACTATTATGAGAGAAAATATTAGATACATTTTTAATAATCTTTCTAACAATGACTTAGAACCCAGAAGGCAGAGAAAAGTGAATAAATTTAACTGTATAAAATTCAAATTTTCTGCATGGCAACAGAAGGCAAAATGGTACAAGAAATATTTGTAACTTTTATCACAAAGAGTTAATTTCCTTAGTGTTTAAAAAGCTCCTACAAGTCAATATGAATGAAACCAAAAACCCAGTGACAAACTATAGGAATAGAATAGTTCACACAAAGGGAAAAGCAAGTGGCTTTTAAATATATTAAAAATACATATAACCTCACTCATAATCAGAGGAAAGCAAAATCGACCTGTGCTATAACATTTTTCACCTATCAGATTGGCCTAAAAGAAAATGTTTGTAAGTACTGTATTAGCAAGGATATAAAAAAATAGGCATTTCTCATACATGGCCAGTGAGAATATAAATTGATAACAATCACTATAGTGGGCATTTTGTTTATATCTATCAACATTTTAAATGTGCAAACCCCTTGACCCAATTCCACTTGTGGTAATTTATCTTATAGATATACTTGCACATGTATAAAATGGTAGATATACAAGGAAATTCATTGCAGTGTAGTTTGTAAGCAATCTAAATGTTTATCAAGGGGCTCATTAAATAAATTCTGATACATCTATATGATAGAGTACTATGCAGTCATTGACAAGTATGAGATGGATTTCTATGTCCTGATACAGAATAATTTAACTTTAAAAAACAAGATGTAGAACAGCATGTATAGGTATGCTACCATTTGTGTGGAGATTCAAGAAACCTATAATAGTAATTGTCTCCAGGAAGATGAATTTGGTACTCAGAAACAGAGGAGGGAGAGAAACTCTCTCTTCACTATACAGGTTTTTGTAATTTGAATTTTATGTTCTTGGTATTTATTACCTCTTCAAAATATGAATTTAAAAAATAGGGGTGTCTTACCAGGCGACTGCAGGTACTCTTCCCTCCGCACCATGGTGGATCTTGCAACTCCCACTCCACTTACTTCTTGCTCAGTGGCTGAATTTACCTTTTAACTTGAGAGGGAGGGAATCTGCTCCAACTCATTCTATGAAGTCAGTATTACCTTGATACCAAAGCCAGGAAAGGATATGACAAAAAAAACAAAACTATAGACCAACATCCCTTATCAATATAGATGCAAAACTCCTCAATAAAATACTAACAAACAGAATTCATCAGCACATCAAAAAAATCAATCAGGACCAAGTGGGCTCCATTCCAGGGGTGCCAGAATGGTTCAACATATGTAAATCAATACATGTGATTCACCACATAAACAAAAGCAAAAAAAAAGACCATATGATCATCTCAAGAGATGCAAAAAAGCATTCGACAAAATCCAGCACCCTTTCATGATAAAAACCCTCAACATATCCTTTAACTTGAAAATCACACACACATGCACACACACAGTTCAATATTCCTAATCTCATATAATTTTTTGAGGAGGAAAATATAATGTATGTGGAGTGCCTAGCAAAGAGTAGGCATTCAATAAATGACGGCTGTTGCCCAGGCACATTTGTTCTGAATCCCAATGACCCAGATTTATATTCTGCATCCCTTCTGTTTTTTCCCTTCACCTCTCACCAGGGGAACCTGCACTTGCTCATTATTTGGCTTAGTCAGTCTTTATGCCATTTTCCTGTGTGTTCCTTTCAGCAATTAAGGGGAGCAGGAGGCAGAAGCAGTACCTCTTTAATGTAACTATCTCTCTCAAGGTAGCAGAAAGAGCCCAAACCTGGGAGTCAGATCTGGCAAATCTCCTCCCTGGCCATCAGGAGCCCCTGGGCCCAGATATCTGTGTAAGGAGATCTACTGAAAAATCTCACCTTGTTGATTGCTGAGCACCTGAGCAATAATAGCTGCCATTTATTGAATGCCTACTCTTTGCCAGGCACTCCACATACATTGCCCCTTTTCTCCTCAAAAGAATTATATGATATTAATAGTATTATTCCCATTTTATAGATGAGGCAACATAGTCTCAGAGAGGCAAAAATCATCTGCCTGAGGTCACATAGCTAGCTGATAGCACCACACAGTATTAAGTCAGTTATGTCTGACTCCATCATGGAAATTCTTTTCCTCTACACATCAATCCTTGAATCTCACTCTACATGCATCCTGTGGGGGTGGGGTCTTTCCTGAGCCCTGCCAGCTCTAGCTCACATAGCAAGATTTTATCATCTCCCTGCAGAGACCACCTAGTTGGCAAGTTCTTTCCTAACTCCTGTGGCTCTCCTGTCTTTTCCTGCTGCTTTAGAGCAACCTCAGAAATTTATGAAAAAAGTGGCTCAGTCTATTAACCTCCCTGAGCTTCATTCCTCATCAATTAAATAGAATTAGCCATACACATGCTCTGGCCACCATATGGGATCTTGTGAGGATCCTTTGATAAAATGTTGGGTAAACTGCTTTGGAAATTCTTAAGCACTAGACTCTTCCTGGGGCTTTTCTGGCTCTTCCTGCTTCTTCCTCTCCTCTCCTGCTGGGAAAATGTTGTGCTCTATACTTATTCTCCCTCTGCTGGCCTGGCAGCAGCATAGCTTCTGTTGGTATAGAGCTAGGTGATACCTTGTGGTATGGTAAGGGGATTAGTTGAACGCTTCATCTTGTACTTAACATTGACAAAGTGGTCTATAATCCTTTGAGAATCAATACTCTCCTTAGCAGTTGCTTAGTACTGGCTGAGGTAATAACACTGCGCCAGCCATTGCCATAAGGTACAAAGATCCCATTTCTGTAAAAGATCCCTTTTCAAAGACAGTTCCAACTTGTGCAAATACTGATTTCTTATACAAATCTAATGAAAAAAATGGGACAGTCTTCAAGAACTGCTGACAAGATCATTTCTTTCATATAACTCAGATGCATTTTTTATGTAAAATATGCCTTTGGGACAAAACCTTCAAGGACCACTTTCAAAAAGTGTGTAGCATTGCATTTCAACAGCTTTGCATTTATAGGAAACACCCTGCTTCCAGAGCTATTTCTGGGTTAATTGGGCCTTGCAAATAGTTTAAGACTCACTCAAAACATTATTTATGATTATGCCTTCAAGAGATCACAGAATGTTGGCTGGCCCAAATCATCACTTCCGGTATACAAGGTCTGTCCAGAAACTATCCAGCCATGCAATATGAAAAACAGAGACATTGATGAAGATACAAGATACAAAGAGACATGGTACATAGGACAATGATGCCTCATTCTCCTTCCAAGTAGACATCTTGGGACCTCACACAGTTCTCCCAGCATCTCTTACCCAACTGTACATGTTCAACATTCTCAGGTGTTCTGCTTGTTGCAGGCTTTCCAGAACCTGGATCACTTTCAACAGACTCTTGACCATCTTTGAAGCATTTGTGCCATACTTTTATTTGCACCGCACTCATTGCATCATCCCTGAAAGCCTTCTGAATCATCCCAATAGTTTCTGGGGATGAACGTTCAAGCTTAATGTAAACTTTGATGCAGATTCATTGCTCTACTCACTCAGTCATTTTAAATGTGACAGCCACAAAATACAGATGCTCACTCAATGGTGTTTAGCGCCCCACCGACTAGTGCGGTAAAGTTCCCATTGTTCAGGCATGTGCATTACAGTCCACTCTCCTTGG